CTACGCAGAAAGGAATTCTACGCAAAAATACATTTGTTAAAAAGAAAATTTTTTTTATAAAAACTTTTTTTTCTATTTTTAATTAACTTTTTATTCATTATTCAAAATCGCTCGATATCTAATTTGGCATAATTTCTTTTATTAAAAAATCCTACGGTTTCTGTTAGTTGGGTCATATTCCACTTCAAACTGCTCAGTTTGCCTAAGAAAATTCCGTTTTTCCCCCTTTTTCAAACGGATTCCTAGCGGCCTGTGGGATGAGCCCAAGGGGGGGTACGCCTTTTTAGAAAGCGGGTACTGTCCCCTTTCTAGTGGGGGGTAGGAGGGTTTGGGGGCCCCAAATAATATTGTGTGAAAATTAAGCGTGGTAAGTGCAACAAGTAAGCTAACCCAATTTGTTTTTCTGCTACTGGGTATACATTTGGCTGAGCTTTCCATTACGGAACAAATAGCTATATCATTCAAAGTATACGGATTTTTTTTTATAAGTCTCGGTGGGGATATTAATGGAGGTCTTCTCCAACTGAATTTATCACTTTCACAATGCTGCTGCAAATTTTAATTTAAAACACCACTTTTTGCTTATATTTACAGTAATATGCTATCCTTAAAATCTTCGCATGCGTTTGTAATACTTTCATTTACATTCATTAAGTAATTGATTAACTTTCATAGTGTATTGGAAATACCCTCGAGATGGGTTCGGAAAAAAGCCATAGTAACAAGAGAGGAAGTGAATTCTAGCTCATTTTCGAAGGGAAATAGAAGACAATCACTCCCTCTAATTAAATTTTCAATTCGATAATGGGCTGGATTTCGAATTCATAATGAAGGAAAAATACATTGGATAAGGAAGGTTCCGTTTTGCTGGAGAATGGTCTGGTTCTCGAATCGAATACTAATCTATCCACATTAGTTATCGAAGGTGAAGCTGGAAAACAAGATTGGTTTTCCAATCATTTTCGAATTGTTTACCAAGTCCAATGTTTATTGGGAAATGACAATTCGTCGCCTGGGTAAAAAATTGTCGTAAGCGTTATACGTTCGTACGTAACATACGACAATCTTTTTCCCAGGGAATTGACATTTGAGTATGCCAAGGCAGAGTTGGCTTTCCAAAACGGAACCAATTGAGATTTCTGCGAAAGTATAAGGAATTTCGTCATGAAACTTGGTGAGGATATTGGGGGAGGCTTTCTCTACATGAATTGATCACTCTCAGAAAGTAGTTGCTAATAGTATTTAAGCAATTTGTTGTTAAATAATCTTCACTAACACCCCCAAATTTTAGTACAAACCCTGCAAACCATTTTTTCAGAGTATTCTGCATTGTAAAGAAATTTTAAAGAATTCGATAAGATTTAATTCGATTTTTTGCCGAGTTTTCTAAAATGAAATAAATTACGCACACACACGAAATTTCGGAAGAAAATCTGTGAAGAAACGAAAAAAATGGTGCTATGTGAAGAATATCTTTCAGAATTTTTCCAAAATTTGCTTTGTTTTTCGTACAGAAATTTCTTTACGAGTTCGTGTCAACCACTTCATATAGGCTGCATTTCTTTATTCATTCTGAACGTTTGGAATAAACTTTTTTGTTTATTTATTCTTTAGAACGTTCTTGTTGATATGTTGACGTCTATTTCAAACATGATTCAATAATGAAAGGTTTTGTAAGTAGCTTTTTTCTAAAATTTGACACTCCCACCCACAGGGATGGTTTTTGGAAGCAGGGGAAAAAAGGGAAGAGTTCAATCAAACTTCCTAAAATGGTAGCTAAATTCCACAAAAAGGTGGGGATAGTGGTATTTTAAAACAAAAACGAATTTGATTTAGTTATTTAATTTAAACCAGCTTATTTACATAGAATTTAACCCCGGATTATTATTTAAAAATAAATTTTTATATGTATGTATATACCAAAGTTGAGTACGCCAGACGGCGCATAACTCGAGAATGGATGGTTCACTTTGAGCTATATTTTTTTGTGTTTGTCTGCCTTGTAAATTCTTTGCCGTACCATTTACAGTTGATGGATATGAAGAAGATATTTGCTTGTGGAAAAAACGACAAATAAAAATATTTGGAGCTTAAGTTTCTTTCGCGGTTTTGGCTCGATTGCTTCGAACATGGTCATTCGAATTTTTTGATGATGCACTTTTAGTGTTCTGGGGAGATTATGCCGCCGTCGGAATATTAAGCATTGGCTTACACAGTCACAATTGGCGATTCGTGCTGGTCGAACTCAGGAAGAATAAAAAGGACACCCAGCTACTGAACGACTGAAGCAGGGAACGTGATCTACTTCGTCAAATGAGTAGTGCCGTAAGTGCGCAATCACATCGCACCATTGACTAAACCGAGCTGTCGTGTGTTACGATTGATCCCATGGATGCGGTGTGCCAATATTATATTCAGTGATCCGACTGAAAAAAAATTTGTGTGGTAGAATCTGGAAAAAAATGTGGTAGATTTCAAAATAATGTGGTAGATCTCAGGTTTTGGATTAAACTTTGTATAAAAAAAATTAAAAAATTCTGGAAGGTGTCACCTAAATTGCAAACCTTTTAATTAGAATCTAAAAAAAATATTTTAGTATAATAAAGTGCAAGATTGAAGTTAATAAAAATTGCTTTGAGTTTTGGCAATTTCTTTCCTTGACAGTGTAAAGCAGTTCCCTTCCATATCAAGATATTTTTCTAACATATTTTGAAAGATTTCTGCAACCTTGCGGAGTGCTGCCAGCTTTTCTTTTTATCACATCACGATGTAGCGCACAAATGTGGCACGTTCCAAAAACAGCTACTTGGGATTTGCCGATTTGAACAATTCTCAAGCAAAAGTAAACAACGCTTTAGAAACTTTAGATGCACTGAAATTTTCTAATACTTTCACAAAAATCGCCATTTTTTAACATTTTCGCTATTAACTCTTTTTATAAATCATATATTTTGCAATTTAACACAATAAAACCCAGTTTCCTGTCGAAAAATTGAATTGTTAGTGTTTAGTGTTAGAAAATTTTTTCTCTTAAAATTAAGAAAATTGTGACGAGCAAAAATAAAACTACTCAAAAACGCGAATATGTGGTACAGACCTTGTGTGGTAGATGTGGTAGATGCTCTAAAGCGTGGCAGATCTACGACAATGTGGTAGAAGTCCGATCACTGATTATATTGCGTCGAAGTCTCATTCGGGGACACCAGGATTGTGTTTTGTAGGTCAATACCTAAATACCTTCGTTTACTCATTTACCAGAACCATTGCGCGGTTTACTTTTCAGCGACTTGACATAATCAATAGGTAGCCACGAATGTCAATAAATACTACTATTCGGCATTTAAGGGAATTTCGTCTCTTCAGCGAATGCAGAACAAACATTTCTTCAAATTTAAAAGGTAAAAATTTCACTACTAAAAATTCAAAAATGCTCCTAAAACTTGCAAAGAAATTCGGAAAAGAAATATCACTGTTTTTGTTTTTAGGAGTAGGGTGGGAGTGTCATTGATAAAATTAGAGCGAGAGAAAGTTTTACTTACAAAACCTTTCATTATTGGATCATGCTGGGTAGCAATATTAGAAGCTATAAAACAACGCATACAATATTTGGGAAAAATGAATAAGAAATATTTGACAACGACCGATTTATTTTACACAACACAGTACGTTTATTTTTGAAAGAACAAAATATCGACGCTCATACAACTACAGCATATTACACAGCCGGAAACTCAGACATAGAACGACTTCACGGGACATTAAACGAACATTTAAGACTGCTTGAAGCTGGAAAAGAAAATAAAAACTTAGAACTAGATGAAAAAATTTTTAAAATATTTACCTATTATAACAATACCCAGATACAAAAAAAGGTAGTTTCACTTTTAAATTTTTTGATATAAACTGTGCTTACTGACGATTCTACTTTTCGCAAATTGTTGAGGTAGCACTGCAACCTAATCAAATAATTATTTTGGAAATTTTAATATTTTTTAAGGAATTTTTATTTCATTAAAAAGTATGTTGTAACTTACATGATTGTTCGTATTAAATGAGCTTGATTTAAATTGCTATAAATGTAAGGCACACCAGCAATGTAGCATTATCTTTAACATGATATATTATATGCAGTTGGAACTTTAAGAAACTAAGTAGGATGTTGCTTTATTTCGGATTCTAGGGAAGCATAAACTTCTTTGTGATAACGCATGATGTATAGCTCCTTGCATCTGCATGCATACATTAGTTTTATTATGCGTCTACATTTATACATTTGTATATTTACACTAGCAGACCCGGCGAACTTCGTTCCGCCCAAAATAAATTTTTTGTATTGAAACATTATGGTCTAACATTTTCACCAACAGTTCACGTTCATGATTTTCAGTGACGCATTTATCTTCTAATATTACGGTTTGGTGGATGTCAGAACACATATTTCCATTGCCGTCTTAAATAACTTAGCAAAACTGTACATGTGTACAAAGAAACGTAATAGTTTCAGTGCGCTTGAAAGGCGCCACGCCCCCTTTTCAAACAGCCCCAATTTTCTCTAAGAGTATGGGATTGATTTCATATATCTCCATATTTTCGAGTAATCTACCATGGGAGGTGCCACGCCCCTTTTTCCAATAGTCCCAATTTTTCTTCATGACCACGCGACTGATTTTATATATCTTGTACACACCAAGTTCTAGTACTCTTCCATAAACACATCCAGAGATATGCAGTATGAAAAATTCGGTTTGTATGGGAGGTGCCATGCCCGGTATGAAATATACTTTACATCCGATTCTCATACCTACCATATATACACAAAAAAATTCATAAAGATCGGTCGAGCCGTTTATAAGGAGT